GCGCAATATGACTCTCCTGTTGTCTTAAAACAGCGATACTTGTACTTGTAATTCGTCTTTTACTTTGGAATTAAATAAATCATTTTTTCATGATCAATGTTAATCAATAATCCAAGTTTTCACTATATAAATATAGCGATAAATCCAGCGATAAAATTATTATATAAACTGAACGATAAACGTTTTTAAAAAAGTTGCCTTCTGCAATATACATATATTCTAAATGTATGTGGAACATTTACATATCATCAGCTTCATACGATGCATCGAATGCTTAATTTTACAATAAAGTACTTGCCACACTTCTCGCAGTATATCTTTGACCTTTTAATTGTTTTAAAATTGTTAAGTATTAATGCGCATAATTATTCGCAATTAATTTTACTGACACCACTTTAGTAATGATTTTGATAATAGTATTCGGCAGTATTGGTATGCGTATATAATAAATAAAGCGAAATATTTCCTTAAAAAAATTAATATTATGTCTTTTGGAAAGAAAATGTCAAGTTCGCGACGAGCATTTTCTTTACCGAGAGTACTTTACAGAAAAATAACATATATTCTGTAATAATGTAAAAATAAGTGAAATAAAAAAGCAATATTATCATTATCTTTTCGTAAACGTCAAGTGACTTTGATAAAGATAACGATAATTCAGTTATGCAATTTATTTTTAGCAACCGGTCGCTATTATTATGTTTCACAAATGATGCTTCTGGGATAAAGTTCGAGAGTCAATTGTACATTCTTCGTTCACAACTTGAATCCAAGGTTGAATCTTATGTAATCCAAGCTCGTGATAATTATTCCAGATTGAAACAAATTGTAAGATATTATGATGTATGCTGCAAAAGCAGAATTTCGCTCGAATAAATGTATATTATAAAAATGCAGTAAATTATATGATAATTTGTGTTCATTAGCTTATTGTGCGATTTGTAAATATAAAGTGAAAACATCAAAACATAAATATTAGTAATTAATCTAAATTATGATGTAGGAAATTTGATATTTTGCATCTGTCAATAAAAAAAATTCGAGAAAAAAATTCAAAAATTCTAACGTTCATTTAGAGGAATAACAATATATACTAACAATTTACAATATTATGCAATATCCAGCACATACAAATATGACATTATATTACAAAAGTAATGATATTTCTAAATCTTTAATTTATAAAAATATAATGCGATATTCATTTTTTCGTCGAGAAAAATTAAATTAATGCTAATTTAATAGCATTAATAAAAACAACACTCAATTATGTTAATTGTTCCCTTCCTAGCATTTAGAAATGCATTCAAATGTTCAAAGTTGTTTTTGCCCAAAATATCACAATCGTATAATATTATATAATATTATAAAAAAATATGGTGTTATAAACATATAAATATCCTGTATAAACATCAACATTTTCTTACAGGCACCTCATCTACGATGAACCTGAAACAAACTTTATGGGCTCAACCCAAGTGATGGGTTCATTCAAATATAAACGAATCATAGGGATGTTAAATAAATGTATCTACATAAATGTGTCTGCAGGTAGTCGACCGATCGATAACCCAGTTTCGATCGACAATTCTTCGATACTGGGCAGGTAGCATCTGCGCAGGGCGAAACCCAGGTCGGGTCACCGACATGGACATGAAAACGTTGATGGGAATTAATTTAGATAGTCCGGAATCAGATTTCATCTGCTTTTTCGATGAAAAATTGTGTCACGAAAAATTTCATCACGGAATGTTAATTTTTCTGAATTGGGAGTGGAATGAAACGTGAAAGAACCATTCTTTTTTCACAATTTAACAGTGTGTCGAATGTGAGCATCGAGCACACACAGAGATACAAAGATGAAACGAAATAAAGAGAGAATGAAGGAGAAGAGAAGAACATCATCTTCGAGAGATGTTATGAGAGGTGTTAAGTATTAAGAAAAACCTACGGGGATTCAGAATGTTCCAGAAGCACGGATTGCCGTTGGTCATCGAAGCGGAGCTATTGGCGCCGGCGCTGGATCGCTTGCTGCAGAGCTGGCTGCTCTCGTCAATATTCTTACTGGCTGCGGAGCATGACATCGTTGAATCCGAATCCGCCATCCTTACGCACACTTCTCTGCGAGGTCCCAGCGCGACGCGCGACGCACTTCCCTCACTTCGTTCGTTGAGCTGTCTGTCACCAGTTTCCGAATATTTTCCTGTGCGTGACAGCGCGCCTGGCGAACGTCGACGGAAGCAATAGTGTATTTTGCCACGCACGCGTGCGCGCGTACCGAATGACGCACTTCGACAATAACGACGCCAACGACAACGACGCCAACGACGACGAGGACGACGAGGACGACGAGGACGACGAGGACGACGAAAATGATAATGACGCCGAGGATGAGAGTACGAGAATATGATTACGTTCGCGTTTCCGCGTTCACATACACGTACAATTTTTGGGGATGAGAATAAATTTGCGCGAGAGAAAGCGCTGTACTTGACAATTCACAAAGTTAGTCCGCGGTCCAAAAAGGAAGAAAACTCCGAGTGACTCATAGCTCGCACACAGCGAGAAGAGAACTGAGGCTTGAAGCCTGTTATCGACCCACCGGAGGTCTCCCAGTCCTTTCCCCGCCGAACATGCCGAACTTCCCCACCACCCTCCAGTCTCAGTCGCCATATTGCTCAGAACCTTTTCCTCAGTACTCAACGAAAAGTACTGTACGTAAGATTAATAAAAAAAAGTGTATATTTAAAAAAATTTAACAATATTTCTCATTTTGTTTATTAGTTTGAAAATAAATTAATTGTAGCAACAACTTTATAATATCAAAATGGACATTAATATTTTTCAAGCTTTTTTCATTTTTGGACTTATTTGTAAATACAATGCGTTTTATTATTTCTCTTATTTGCTACACGCACGCACGCACGCACGCAGGCGCGCACGCACGCACGCGCGCACGCACGCACGCACGCGCGCACGCACGCATACGAATACAGTACGCAAAATC